AATAATTCACCATCACTGAGTTGCTTACAGTTCTGGGGCCTCTACTTTCAACCTGTGCCTGTATTTTCAAGGCCTTTGTTCTTATCTTGTATCTAAGCTGTATGCTGTAACAGAGGCACCTGGTACCCAGCTCTAGCTCACACAACAAGTTCTCCTAGTAATTTCACAAGCGTGAGAGGCCAGAATTTGGGCCTTGCACATTTCGCATAGAAACGCAGTTGGCATAAGGCCCGAGGCCTGTTCCTAGCAGTGGCAATACTATTTTTACTGAGCCACTTGGTACAAAAATGCATATACATTGTTCACTAGTCATGCTGTATAAGTTTGCTTATGTTTGAGTTCATAACAAGCTAATAAAATACCACTCAATCTGCTGCTACTTTTACGGGTGCAACAGCTTCTGCTTTGGCTAAAGACAGTTAAGGTTTTATAACTGTGGAGCTAGTGATGAACAGTGCATTCCACTGATGAACAGTCAAATCCTGACTATCCTAAGAATAGTGCTGTTCCAGGTTTACCCTGAGTAAGTACCATTTCTTATATAGGTACAGACTGGACAGAGAGCGTCAAGCTTTGTGTATGTACGTACTTGTAAAGAGACTTTGCTTAATTTCTTGTAGATGATTAATTCTCCTTTTTAGAAAGTGAAGAGGAATATATGGATATGTGTCACCAAATCTGTTCACATGAAGATTAACTACTTGTACTCTATTTTAAGCATTTAAAAAAAAAAAGGAGTAAAGGCTTGAAATGTGTGGTTTGCATCTGTGATATATGGATCACTTTAGCATTGGGATACTTTCCTGATATGATTCTAAATAGTGTGAGGGTTTTTTTGTTGTGATGACATAAGCATGGTAATATTATCCTCCGTAACTAATGAATTGACCAGCTGTTGAGCAGGATTTTATTAAATATAGAACAGAAAAAATGTGTTTTTAATGAAGCTGTTTGAAATACTAAAAGTACTAAGACTATTAAAGTTCTTATGCCTATGTAAATGGGTGTAAGGTTAGCCCTTTTCCAAAGAAATACGCTAATCACTTTTGTTAAGGGTAGAGGCACGTCTGTTTTAAATTGTGGTATGTTTATCACAAAGAGTGTAACTGGGGTGTTTAAAAAAAACAAAACCAAAACAACAAACCAAAACACCAGTGTGTTGGTTCAGTTGCGGTGAGATCTTGGCTGGTTAGAGTTGAATTTAAGGAAGAAAATAACAAAGCTGTTCTTTAATAAAGGTTTTCTTGCCTTGTATATCTTTCACTTTCACCCTGTTTTTCACACTTGGCATTTAGTTTTGGTACATTAGCTACTCTCAGTAAATCAGGAGGAATTATCTTCCGAACGGTTTCACAAACAACTTCACAACTATGACATATCCAGTTTCCAGAGGGATGCTGGAATTATTTCAAGAGTTGTCTTAGAGTGAGACCACCTCTTTCCAAAGCTTAAACAAAAAAAAGAGCTTGTCATTCTTTAGAGGCATGTACAAATATGTGTTTCCATATCCTCTTTAGATATGACTCCCATTGTGCATTTTGGAGACTAGACTAGGAAAAGGCCTTAATAGTTAACAGGATCAGCTCCTTTGAGAACATTTATGAGGCAAGGGGGAGAATAAGGGAAATAATCCATCACCTCAAGTTGGGGAATAGCTTACTTGGTATGAGCAGAGAGATAACTAGTCAGCAGGCACTATCAAATTCCATAAGTGATGACAGTAGACAAATGTGTGTTTATTGCTTCAACTGTTGCCCACTCCAGTTATTAATTTCCTGTCAAAACAGAAATATCACACAGACTTTTCTGTGCTGCTGTCTTCATGCATTCCACATAACCCCTTGATATCTTCTGACCACTGTCCACGTTGATACCAAACAATGAGTCATTATACGTATGTGGTAATCATTAACTGTGGAGTAGTTGTGTTGTAGTCCTTGACATCTGTCAAACCTAGGATTAAACATATAGTGACGTCAGTGCAGGTGTGCATCCAGCCATGGAAGCAGCAGGAAGCACAGAGATTCTTCTCCTGTGCACTTTACAAACCTCCATGGCCACCAGCAGTGCTGTAAAGTTAATTAGTTAAGTATAGAATCATAGAATCATTAAGGTTGGAAAAGACCTCTAAGATCATCGAGTCCAACCGTCGACCCAACACCACCATGTCCCTAAGAGCCTCGTCTACACATCTTTTAAATACTTCCAGGGATGGTGAATCAACCATTTCCC